AGGTTACAATTGTTCACTGGTTCATTTCACAAATGGGCAACAAAGTAAGACTCTGTAAAAAAAAAAAAAAAAAAAAAAATGAAGACTGAGAACTGGCCGTTGGATTTAGCAATGTGGAGGTCATTGATGATCTTAACCACTGATTTCGGTGGAGTAGTAAGGGTGATACCTGATTGGAGGGGTTCAAGAGAAGACAGAGGAGAGGAATTGGGAACTGATTTTTAAAAAACAACACTCCTTTTTGTTTTTCAAGATGGAGGCTCTGTCACCTAGGCAACTTTTTGTAGAGATCGGGTCTCACTATACTACCCAGGCTGGTCTTGAACTGCTGGGCTCAAGCCATCCTCCTACCTCGGCCTCCCAAAGTGCTAGGATTATAGGCATGAGCCACAACATGGGGTCCCTTTGAGGAGAATAACTGCAAAGAGGAGTGAAGAAATGGGGTGGAAATGGAGTCTAGAGAAGAGCATGTTCCTTTGCTGGTGGTAGAAATAAGGAGGGGTTGGGGAGTGTTCTAGAATTGGCAACACGAAGTAAGGAGAACATCTGCTTTATATCCATGCCCAGAGATTGGGGGTGGGGAGACAAGAACAGCTACCGTTCGAGAGAGCTTTGGGGAAGCACTGTTCTCAAGGCAGAGGTAGGGTTCCGTTAGAGCAGAAAGGAACCATCAGAGGAGACGTTAAGGGTGTAGATTTTGCTGAGTTTTCAGTTCCAGGGGGTTTAGTACAGTGGTTTAAGAGTTGAAGAAGGTGGGCTTTGGGGACAGATACTGGATATTCAGAATCTTATGAGGATTAGAATACCAGGGAAGTGGATGTGATAACCCACTGTGGCTTCTTATAGTGACTCTTAATCAGGGATAGAGAGTATAATGAGATTAGTCCTGGTGAACTTGAAGCAGATAGCAGTGGCAAGCTTGTGTTTGCAGGTAGGAAGGGTGGGTGTCTGAGGCTCTCTCTTGATGCTTGTCTTTGGAGGCTAGGAAGTCTAGAGAAATTGAGTCTTACTCAGAGCTAGCAGGTCCCCGCTTGACCCCTGTTTATGGCAGGTAGAAGGCCTTGGGATGAGGTCTCGGTCCCAGTGCTTCCACTTTTAGGCTGTTGTGAATGCTGCCATGAACATGGGTGTACACATATCTCTTTGAGACCCTGCTTCCATTTCTTTTGGATATATACCCAGAGGAGAGATTGCTAGATCATATGGTAATTCTATTTTTTTATTTTTTGAGGACCACATTTTTTCCATGTTTTCCACATTAGGTGCACCATTTTACATTCCCACCAACAGTGTACAAGGGTTCCAGTTTCTCCACATCCTCACCAAAACTTGTTATTTTCTGTTTTTTGATAGTAGGCATCCTAATGGGTATGAGATCACCTAAATTTTTAAATAATTCCATAACATCATTAAAAACGTCAGTGTTCATATTTATTTTATATGATGGCTTGTAATTTTTGTATAAATTTATCTGTTCAAATCAGGATCAAAATAAGATGTATACATTGTGTCAATGCTTCTTTTAAGCCTCTTTTGTCTGTAGATTCCTGTTCCCTCTCTCTTTTTGCCCTTTGCAGTTTATTTGTAATTTACATCACGTGGAATCTTTTTAAGAGATAGGGTCTCTGTCATCCAGGCCGGAGGACAGTGATGTGATCATAGCTCACTGCAGCCTCCAGCTCTTGGATTTGAGGGATCCTTCTGCCTCAGCCCTCTGAATAACTGGGACTATAGGCACGCACCACCACCCACACCTGGCTAATTTTTTTAATTTTATTTTTGTAGAGGTAGGGTCTTGCTGTGTTGCCCAGGCTGGTCTTGAACTCGTGGCCTCAAGCAGTCCTCCATCTCAGCCTCACAAAATGCTGAGATTATAGGCATGAGCCACTGCCCCTAGCCAAAGTGGGATCTTTTAAAATTACTGTTATATTTTCATTGTGGCAGAAGAGAAAGCTAGCTTTTTTCTTTACATATCTTGTACATGACTACTTAACTAACTCTGTTAATTCTATTTTCTGTACACGCTTCCTTGTAAGTTTGCCTTTGTTCTGAAAGGGAGAGAATTATTTTTTCTTCTCCTTTCCATGCCAAATAATCTCTTTTTTTTAGGGCTCTGGGCATGGGTGTCTGCTGTTGGGGCTATAGTTGAGTAGCAGCATGGGATGTCATCTTTGTGTCCTTGCAAGGGAACATAACCACCACAGATAGTCTTATTTGTGTGGGACATTTTATTCTAAAGGCCAAAGTGCCAATTACGAATGACTCTCTGAGTGCAGCTTATTCATAGATTGTGGACTGCCTTAATTTACTGAGTCCGTTTGAATTTCAGGAACGTGAGGATCATCCCCGGAGAGGACGTGAGGATCGGCAGTACCGGGAACCATCAGAGCAGGAACACAGGAGAGCTAGGAACAGTGACCGGGACAGACACAGGGGCTATTCCCACCAAAG